CGGACCGCTCTGGCCGAGTCTCTGCGCCTGCGCCTTGCAGAGCCTGCGAGTGCTGCAGCGATCACGTGTAAGCCGTGTCCTTGGTGGCATAAAGGATTTGCACACAGGGCTCTCCCAGAGCGAGTGCAGAAATTATTATTATTTTAAATAAAGAAGGGGTCTCGCTATGTTGCCCAGGTTGGTCTGGAACTCCTGGCCTCAAGGGATCCTTCCATCTTGAATTCTCAAAGTGTTGGGATTACAGGTGTGAGCCACTGTGCTGTTCTAGATGGTATGAGAATTAAATGACGTTTGAAACGTCCTTATAACATGCTTAGCTAACCTTTTTAACTAATGACAGCAGCAGGCGCAGCCTTGTTCAAGGCAGCAATCTGAGGTAGGTCTGTAGATGGTCTGTCCACTTGGGGGGGGTCAGTTAATTCTGTTGGGTGGCCAGTCCTAACTCTGCCACTAGAATAGCTGTGAACCTTAATCATTTAAGGATCCCTCATTGGCAGGGGGGATGCCATCCCAGGTCTGTCCAGCAGGGCCACCTGTGCTCCATGACAGAGGCTATGGATCTCCTGCCGTGCTCTAAGGCTAAGCTCAGCAGGAAAGGTTGCTGTAGTAAAGAAAGGCCCACTGTCATCCCCCAGCATCTCCTCCCCTACACCAGCAGCCCTTTGCCCCACCTGGAGGAACCACCGCCTCCTGGCTGCACATCCCTCAATCCCCGGGGGCTCACCCAGAGGCGGGTACTGGGAGAAGCTCTCCACACACATGGGCTTCCCTGGGACCATCTCCACAATGGCTGCATCACCGGATTTCAGGGACTTGGGGTTGTCCTCCAGCTTCTTGCCAGAACGCCGATCAATCTTCTCTTTCAGCTCAGCAAACTTGCAGGCAATGTGGGCTGTGTGGCAGTCAATGACAGGAGAGTAGCCAGCGCTGATCTGCCCAGGGTGGTTCAGAATGATGACCTGGGGGCAGAGTCACATGTGGCAGTCAGGTACACCCACAAAGGGGACCAGAGAATGCAGCAGAGCTGGGCTGGAGCCTCCTAGGGCCCAGCTCTGACTGGAGGAGGCTCAGACTATGGGGGACCCACTGCCAGACCTTGACCTTCATCCTCATTAAGCACCTGACAAACCACAAGAGATAAACAACTGATGAGTGCATTACTCAACAGGGAAGGGGTAGGTCCTCCACTGCCCACCCTGGATGGAACTAAGGCCAGAGGGTGGCAAAATCGGGCCTCCATGATTGTGTGTGAGGTATACCTCACAACAATTTTAGAAACTGCTGTCATATGAAGAGGTGATCAGAGAGGGTGTCATGAAAAATGCAAAGAATCAAAGAAGTACAGAGACTTCTCAGGCCGTGAGTTAATGAAGGTGGTTTTTTCAGGACAGAAGTAGGACCTCAGGGGCTGGGCCTTCCAGCTGTGGTCAGCAGACAGGACAGAGGCAGGAGTGGCCAGGCCTAGGTCATTTCAGCACTGACTTGCCACCCCCACCCAAGGCTTCAGGGCCTCACTGGTGAAATGCAGCTGTCATCTCTGCACCAGGTGGCATGTGGCAACGACCTCACCAAGGACAGCCTGCTGCTGCCCGGCAGGCTCGGGCCCCAGGACACCAACTCAGCCACCAACCTGGGAGGTGAACTGGGCAGCCTCCTGCGGCGGGTCGGACTTGCTGTCCCCACACACGTTGCCCCGGCGGATGTCCTTGACCGACACATTCTTCACGTTGAAGCCCACATTGTCACCAGGGAGGGCCTCGCTCAGTGCCTCGTGGTGCATTTCCACCGACTTCACCTCCGTGGTGATGTTCACAGGTGCAAAGGTGACCACCATGCCCGGCCGGAGGATGCCCGTCTCCACGCGGCCCACAGGCACTGTGCCGATGCCTGGCCAAGAGGAGGGGGCTGTGAGGGGCAGGCGGGGGAGGCAGGGTGCTGGGGGCAGGACATCAGGGAGAGACCCAGGAAACCAACAAAGCCCCACCTCTGTGGCCACATGGAGGGAGGCCCAGGACAAGGCTGTCACCAAGGTTCTGACAGAAGTGGAGGCTCCCCGACCCAGCTGGGGACTGAACAAGAAGGCATTCCTGGAACCCAAGGAAAAGCTATAGGGGGATGGGCCAGGAGAGGGCTAACTGGACCTGGGATTACATGCCTGCTCCAGGGGTGCTGTGCCTTAGAGGAGACACTGTGGGAACCCTCTTCTCTGGGGACCCTCCTCGTGGCCCTGGGGTTGCAGCACCACAGAGTGGACCGGGCCACAGGAACTGCTCCTGTGTGAGGCCCAGTGACCCTGCCCACTTGGACACAGCTGGTCTCCATCCCCGAGGGGCCTCTGAACCCCCAAGCTCCTCATTGGTCTGTGTGTACCAACTCTGTGGCTCCTGGGGGGGGTCATCTCCCCCCGGGCATGGGGGTCTCCACCCCTGCCTCCCTGGGCTGTAATGGCAGCTTCTGTAGCATTCCAGGATGATGGGGACAGAGGCTGGTAGCTGTTCTCTGTGCTGGGGAGATGCCGTTTAGCTGGGAATCCCCCATCAGTGCCCCTCTCTTGGGTCTCACATCTGTTTATAATTTGTTTCACCTCATGAGTGGAATTTCTCATTCCTGGAGTGGGACAGTTTCTCCTACAAGACTAGTACCGTGGAGAGTGATGTGCAAGTCACCTCTAAGGCTCCTTATGCCACCAACTCCTGGCACAGGGTGGAGCACTTACCTGAAGAGATGGAGACCCTGACCAATGCTGGACAGATGGACGGCTGGACAGAAGGATGGATGCATGGATGGAGGATGAAAGGGTGGATGGACAGAATGATGGATGGATGAACGGATGGACAGAAGGATGCATGAGTGGATGGAGGATGGAGGGGTGGATGGACAGAAGGATGGAAGGACAGATGGACAAAGGATGGATGAAAGGGTGGCAAGAAGGATGGATGGACAGAAGGATGGATGGATTCATGGGTGGATGGACAGAAGACTGGATAGATGGACGGATGGACAAAAGGATGGATGTGTGGATGGAGGATGGACAGATGAACAAAAGGATGGATGGACAGATGGAGAGAAGGATGAAAGGACATATGGATGGGCAGATGTGGGCTGTGTGGCAGTCAATGACAGGAGAGTAGCTAGCGCTGATCTGCCCAGGGTGGTTCAGAATGATAACCTGGGGGCAGAGCCACACGTGGTAGTCAGGCACACCCACGAAGGGACCAGAGAATGCAGTAGAGCTGGGCTGGAGCCTCCTAGGGCCAAGCTCTGACTGGAGGAGGCTCAGACTATGAATGGTCAGAAGGATAGAAAGATGGATAGATAAGCTGGGCTCAGTGGTTCAGCCTGTAATCCTGTGCTTTGGGAGGCTGAGGTGAGTGGATT